AAGTATTCATTTTAAAGGTATAAACCTGAACTATTTTCATATTAAACAATTTTGAGAAATATTAAGTTTAAGTTGGGTAAAACAGTTCGTGAACAGTTCACAACTTTTCTGTTGTAAGTTGTCAAGTTAAGTTTTAAATATGTTTTGGTGTTTTAACTTCTATCCCTCCCCCCTGAAAACTAAAGAAAACTGGAAAATGTAGGGGTATGAACTCACCTTGAGTGATTTCTTGAGGGATGGAAGGTTGAAGATGATGAGTTTCAAGTTAAGAACACTTGATGAACACGTGAAGTGTTTGGATGATCCTATGAACGATTTTGTGTTAATGTGTGTGTAGATGATCCAAGAGTGTTATGAAAACATGTAATAACACTTGAGTTTAGATGAAATACTTACCAAAAAGTGAAGTAATAGCTAAAGAACACCTCAAAAGTGTGGCTGGAAGTTGAGAGAAAAAGAGGCTCTCTTGATGGTTAAGGAGTGTATATGTGTTTTATGGAGAAGAAAATGATCAAGGAGACCCCCAGGCATTTCTTTATATGAAGGATTGTTGGAGCAAGTGGCTAGGGTGAAGGGATGTTTACCTTGATGTGTGTGATGTGGATAAGGTTGGACTAATGAGAAGATGACACATGGAGGCAAGTGGGCACACTTGACCCACTTGTGGTGTAAAATACTCTTCTTAATGTAAAATAATGATTTATAATTAATAAATCCTTGAGAAATGAATAAAATATGAGTTTAAGGAGTTTAAAATGATAAAAATATGAATTTTGTGAAAAATCCCCGTCAAAAACGGGCTTAACAGGCGAAAGTTGTCGAAAACCGGACAATAGAAGCGAACCTACGAGGTTCAGTCCTTAGGAGGTGAGAACCGAGAGAAGGGGGAAGGAGGAACCGAAGGTGGGAGAAGGAACTGAAGGGAGGGTCTCGGGTCCGAAGGTGCGAGAGGAGTGAAATGGACCGAAGGCTCAGTTCATTTCGGGTGCAAGAGGTTCGGTCCGAGATACTAGGTTCAGTTCTGACAGTTTGGTTCGGTCCTGAGCAATTCGGTCCTGAGGGACCTTCGGTCCTGATAGGAGGGTTCGGCTCTAAGAGGTTCGGCTCCTAAGAGGTTCGGTTCCTAAGAGGGTTTCGGTCCTATATCGCTATTTTTCGAGTAATCTTTCCGTTTTGAGTGATTTTTGACCAAGTTAAGGGTCGGGATGACTCGGATGACTATAAAAAGTTGAGAGAGGTTTTGAGAGAGATTTGGGAGAGATTTCATATTCTTGGAGAGATTTCACATACTTGGAGAGATTTGGGAGAGATTTCACATACTTGGAGAGATTTGGGAGAGATTTCACATACTTGGAGAGATTTGGGAGAGATTTCACATACTTGTAGAGATTTGGGAGAGATGTCACATACTTAGAGAGATTTGGGATAGAGAGATTGAGAGAGACTTTGTTTGTGACCTTTGCGACTGTTTAACTTCGAAATGCAAGGTTTGTAAACCCCGTTTTGCCTTGTTATGAGCGTTGTACGCCCCCGAAGGGTATGTATTAATGTTTTATTGAGTTGTTCCATTAGTTACACTGATTAGGGTTTAGATTTTTTTTTTGAACATAGGAAGACTTAAAGTGATACTTGCATTACGATGGTGTGTTGTACAATAGTAAGCACGATGTAAACCCTAATTTACAAAGGTTAATTGAGTTGACCGGTTTGACTTGTTGACTTTATTTAACTTTGACTTGACCGGAAATTGACGGTTGTCACATTATAACCAGAGTCTCCTGGAGGGAGAGCGTGAGTTTGTGCATAGATCTATACGGGACTTACAACCCCGCACCCCAACTGTTAGCTACAGTTAGGCCGGCAGGCCGGGGTGACAAATGTCATCTCGATTCCGACGCCTGAAGAACGTCGTTTCAGGCCATCCACGGTCATCAAGTATGGTTATAATAACTCACAATTTGGTATTGAATAAAACGATTAATGTAAGAATAGGTAAACAATGTCACCTAGTTTTATTTTCAATAAAACTACAACATGACACTCTTTACAAAACCACTGGTAAATCCAGGTACTTACAATTATGGAGTCTTTATCAAATTACAAACACCGTATACTATTTTGGAATACAAAAAAACATTACTACAAAAAATATAGGATTTTCTGGGAAAACATACATACAGTTTTACAAGCAGTCAACCATTCATATTTCAATTACAAACATACTTATGAACTCACCAACTTAAATGTTGATACACTTTCAAAATTACTTGTATTCTCAGGGAACCGTTAGATATGTATACTGCAGGTTTTGAGAAGACAGAGCTTCTGGAGCCGCGTCTTTTATACTTTTGCTAATCATTTTTGATGTCATACAAACTATGTATTGAACAGATGTAAATACTATATGCTATCAATGTAATGGTTGTGTTTGCTTTGATTACTATTATTCAATTGTTGTGATACTGCACATGACGTCCTCCGCCCCCGAACGTTTCCACCGTCTCAGTTTGGGGGTGTGACATTTGAAAAAATGACCTGCAAGTTATCATTTAATTCTTGTTTGACTGTTCTTAATTCTGATATGTCATTTCAGTGGGATCTCACAAGTGGTATAAAATCCAACCCATGTAGATTGAAACAATTAGTTCATGGAACAATATATGAGTTGAAAAATTCTTGCATAATCAATTCAAGATTCGATATCTTTTGGTGAATCTATCAAAATTCTTAAAATCATCTAATATTTTTGGATTCATTGTCACAATTTTCCGTTGGATCTACTCTATTTAAGCCCAATAATTAGTCAAAATCATTCGATTTATCTTGATCTAATCCATTTATTTCAGTCCAATTTGTTATTAATCCAGCCCGAAAACAGATTAAATCATTTGTTAATTCATTTGAAATCCCAATCCTAAATGTTTGAGGGGCTGACCTTTTGCTTTAAGAACTTAATGAAAAGTTGGACACCAGGTGGCTACGTTGAGCGTAGCTTTCTATACGTTGAGTGTACCTCTGAACTTGCTCGTTTTGCCTCCTTGAGCTCTATGCTAAGCGTAGAGTTGCATGCTACGCCGAGCGTAGGTCAACTGGAGGTTGACCGTCGACTTTTGACCGAATTTGACTCTAGGTCAACTAGTGGATACTGGGTTGTAGTTTAAGAATCTGGTCCCTGATTGTTGAATAGATGACATGTAGTACCTGTCTTGGATTTGTGAGAGCTGTGTTGTTGTCTGCTAGTCTGTGATGTGAGTTTTCTCAATATACTTTATATTGCAGTATATGTCCTTTTGTGTAGGATGTTGTTATGATGTAGTGTTCTGTTAGTCTGGTAGGCCTGATATGATTACTTGTGTTTTCTTTTTATCGTTTTGGTACATATATCGACATAATGTGGTTGGGTTGAGGTGGTACGACTTCGTGTTGTCGGCCAATAAACCCGGGGCAATCTAGTCTTACGACTGTGGGTCAGGAGCAATCTAGTCTTACGAATATGGGTCGGGGCAATCCAATCTTATGTCTGTGGGTCCAAGGGCAATCTATTTTTATGTTGTAGGCCTGATGTGCATGCATTGTATATGTATTGTTGTGTAGGGTATTATAGGGGAACTCACTAAGCTTTGACTTACAGTTGTGGATTTCAATGTTTTCACGTACTTCAGATGATCGGGCCAAGACGAAGGCGTGATTGTACAAATCCTCATGTTGATTTATGTCTTAAGAGATTATTTTGATACTTTGATTTTGTGGGTTTGTTTTGAAAACAATGTTTGTCTATCTTATGGATTTATGAAAATGTCTTTTGAAAACCAAATTTTTTGTCATGATTTTTGGGGTATTACAATTGGAATTTGGGTTTGCACCATTTCTGTCTTCTCTTAAACAAACCTCCAGGAAGCATTGATTATGTGGTGAGTTATTTCACCCATCTTCTTCATCTATAACCTTTTTGCTCGTTTAAAAAGCCAATCAGGTGTCGATTGCCTCACAAAAGAAGGACAAGAAAAGGTAGAGAGACGATGGTTTGAGTGTGGGTCAAAATCCATTTGTTCCAGATTTATGGGTCAACATCAATTTTTGTTCCAGATTCTCGAACACATACACATTGAAGAAATCGATTTGGGTTCCATATTGTTTGGAAAGAATCGACTTTGTTTCGTATTCTTGAATAAGAAATCACATGTGGAACCTAATGAAAAAGCTTACTTGATGACAAAGATCAAGAGATACGGAGAATCAGAGCTGATGACACCTTTGAATGAAATTCTTAAACTAATCTAAGATGATATAAAGGAGAGGGTGAGTTATCAGAGAAAGATTGGAGCAAATGGTAGTGATGGGTCTATTTCTTCATATGAATCTACGTCTTGAGAGAACTGAATACAAAAGTTTAGCTGATAATTTCATGTGTGTGTGTGTGAGAGAGGATGTGTGGGTGACTGGGCCCTCTTTTATTTTTTTATTATTAAAATATAAAATAAATATTAAAAATATAAAAATAAAAATAAAAGGTTATAATAGTCATTTCAGTTTTAGAAATGACCAAAACTACACACAAACTTGCTAAAAAATGACCACCAATAAAAAAAAGTCGTGGTCTTAATTAAAACCTGAAAAATATGCATAGGGACCATTTTTGCATTTTTGTCTATTTAATAAGATATGTATTATTTTCATTTTTAATAAAAAGATATGTCTTAATTAGTATTTTGTAACTAAAAGTAGAAATAATAATTCTTTTTTAATTTTTAATGATGTTTAGTCATTAATTAATTATATTTTTTTTTCGAGACGATTACTTTTGACTACGGTATCTTTCAAATAAAAAAAGACTATATAAAATGTTTATGTACCTAATGCATTGGACCCACACGTGAGCATCATTAGCACCAAAACGACTATAGAAGACTTCACCAAACTCTCTTTCCTCCACCAAGGTCGATCATATTATAAACTTAAACAAGGAAGACCATGAAGCATTACTAATGGGTATTGCTGTTATGTTTTCTCCGCTTTCGAGTATTTTGACAGATGATGCTAGCAACATTCCCCTGACCCCCAGGCTCTTGCATGGCTATTCTGGTTCACTATACCTTGGTTTCTTCATTCTATTATTCATCACTTGGCTTGGCAGAAAATTCAGGAATAACAATGGAGGTCCTAAACAAACTCTTAGGTCCAACAATAGGTCCTTTTTTTACAAGCAGACCCTGTTTTGTTGTGTAGTTCTTGTGCTTCTTAACCTCTTTGTGCTTTTATTCAACCTTTTTTATTGGTATAAAAATGGTAGGACCAATGAAAGCATTATCACCTCCCAGGATACTCTTCTGGGAACATTTGTTTGGTCATTTGTTTCTTTGTACTTACACACCCATGTTTCTAACTCCACCGAATCCTTGTATCCCATTGTATTGAAGGTTTGGTGGCTTTCTTTTTCCCTAATCTCTTGTTTTTGCCTTGTCTTGGACTATCTTAACTACCAACAAAATCAATACTTGATCTTGGAGGCTTTGTCTACTTTTGTCAGTCTATGTCTCTGTTATGTGGGGTTCTCTGATAACATCGAAAATGGAACTATAAACCATTTGTATCAAAAACCCCTCCTGAATGAAACTATAACCCCTTCAACAACCACAACTATCTTTAGTCTTTTAACTTTCTCGTGGATTCATCCTCTGATTGCTACTGGATATAAGAAACCATTAGACCTTGAAGACGTTCCAGAACTTGACAGTGTCAATAGTGCAAGAGGAGCCTTTACCGTTTTAAGAAGTAAACTAGAGTCGGGTAAAAGAGAAAATAGTCAAATCACTACTTTTGTTCTCGCCAAGGCTGTGATCTTGACAATATGGAGAGACATATTAATCACCGCACTCCTTTCTCTTGTGTATACTTTGGCTTCATATGTTGGGCCTTTCCTCATAGATGCATATGTAGAATATGTAAATGGAAAGCGAGACATAAAGGAGGGTTTTCTTCTAGTTTCTGCATTCATTGTCGCTAAGATAGTGGAGTGTTTAGCACAACGACATCAAGACTTTAAGCTACAACAGGCAGGAATCAAGGCAAGATCGGCTTTGGTTGCAACAATCTACCTTAAAGGTTTGACCCTTTCATCTCAGTCAAAGCAGGGGGAGTCTAGTGGCGAAATAATCAATTTAATGGCTGTTGATGCTGAAAAAATCGGTGAATTTAGCCGCTACATGCACAACCCTTGGCTAGTGATTCTTGAGGTTGGTTTGGCACTAGCAATTTTGTATAAAAATCTCGGACTTTCATCACTTGCTGCTTTTGTTGCTACCATAATTGTGGTTTCAACCAATATACCACTAGGGCGTTTCCAGAACAAGTTTCAACAGAAGCTAATGATGTATAAAGATAAAAGGATGAAAACAACTTTTGAAATTTTAAAAAACATGAGAATTCTCAAGCTCCATGGATGGGAGATGAAGTTCTTGTCTAGAATACATGATATCAGGAGGGAAGAGGCACAATGGTTGTACAAAAATGTTTTTACTATGGCAATGACTACTTTCTCATTCTGGGTTGCACCCACTTTTGTAGCAATTTCCACTTTTGGGACATGTATTCTTGCTGGTATTCCACTTGATTCAGGGAAGGTATTATCTGCTCTTGCAACATTTAAAATTCTTCAAGAATCTGCTTTAGATCTTCCGCAAACAGTATCTATGATAGCACAGACTAAAGTCTCACTTGATCGAATTGCATCGTTCCTTCGTCTTCAAGACTTAGATTCTAATCTAGTGGAAAAGCTCCCAATAGGTAGTTCCGACACTGCAGTTGAGATCATCAATGGGAATTTTTCATGGGACGTGACATCAGCAAATCCAACATTGATCGATATAAATTTCAGAGTTGTTCATGGAATTAGGGTTGCTGTGTGTGGCACTGTTGGGGCTGGAAAATCGAGCTTATTATCTTGTATTCTAGGAGAAGTGCCTAAATTATCTGGAAATGTTAAACTTTGTGGGTCAAGGGCTTATGTTGGTCAAACGCCATGGATTCAGAGTGGAAAGATTGAAGAGAATATATTATTTGGTAAGGAAATGGAGAGAGAAAGGTATGATAAGGTTCTTGAAGCATGCGCTTTGAAGGAAGATCTTGGAGTTTTATCATTTGGTGATCAAACAGTTATAGGAGAGAGGGGAATCAATTTAAGTGGTGGACAGAAACAGAGGATACAGATAGCACGTGCGCTTTATCAAGATGCTGATATTTACCTTTTTGATGATCCATTCAGTGCTGTTGATGCTCATACAGGAAGCCATATCTTTAAAGTGAGTTAATTTAATTCATTTCACTTTTCTTGATTTTCAATTTATAGTCACAACCAAGTGCTTCATTAGTAGTTTTCATGTTGTGTACTTTAATTTAACTAAAGTGAATCTATTGACAGAAATGTATGCTGGACTTCTTGAAATCAAAAACCGTGATTTATGTCACACATCAGGTGGAGTTTTTACCTGATGCAGATCTCATCCTGGTAATTGAAAGAAGCATTATTTTTTCAGTTGCTTTTTACATATTCATGTAGACACCAATCTGAAGATAATGGACACATTACCAGGTTTTGAAGGATGGGAGAATTACTCAAGCTGGAAAATACGATGATATTGTCAACACTGGAAGCAACTTTATAGAACTTGTTGGTGCACACAAAGAAGCTTTATTAGAAATGGGGAAGAAATTAGCATCTGATATAAAGGATGCGAATGAAAACAAAAGAAGCCAAGGCACTGTAAAGAATCATATCCAAGAGGAGAATGTAAACAGTCAAAAGGGTAAAGAAGTTTACTCGAATGGGAAGAAGAAGCAGCTTGTGGAAGAAGAAGAAAGAAAAAAAGGTAAAGTTGACTTGTCTTCCTATTTGAAATACCTTACAATTGCATATGGAGGAGCACTTGTGCCATTGGTATTGTTAGCACAAATTACATTTGAGGTCCTTCAAATATCGGGTAATTACTGGATGGCTTGGGCTTCTTCTGCATCACAAAGTATTGAAGCTCGTGTTGGAGGCTCTAAGCTTATTATTGTTTATGTGGGTTTTGGAATTGGATGCGCTTTCTGTGTTCTAACTAGAGCAATGCTTGTTATGAAAGCTGGATATGAAACAGCCAACAAGCTGTTCTACAAAATGCATTTTTGTATTTTTCGTGCCCCTATGTCTTTCTTTGATTCAAACCCATCTGGACGAATTCTAAATAGAGTAAGTTAATACTTTTGTTCTTTCATTTTTCTCAATTGTTGACATAGAGAGTTTTACTTGAACTCTTTTTGTAGGCATCTACAGATCAAAGTGCAGTGGATGTAAAATTAGCAGATACAATGATCCTATTTGCTGCTGTGGTCATACAACTTTTTGGCATTGTTATAGTTATGTCGCTTGGTGCTTGGCCAGTGTTCCTTTTTTTCATTCCCATGATTGGAATTTGCATCCGCTTACAGGTAATTATTACTTTATTACTTTCTACTTCTATATATCTGATATTTATGATTATGTAATTACTTAATTTCCATCTTATATTTTACACGTGTTGCCCGTTTGCCTTCAATCGATATGTATTGAACTATTAAGTTTTGGTTGAACGTGTTAATTTAATTGTATTTGAAGCGATATTACATACCTTCAGCACGAGAACTTGCACGATTGGTTGGAGTAAGCAAAGCCCCAGTCATACAACATTTTTCTGAAACGATATCCGGATCAACAACAATCAGAAGCTTCGATCAGAATGGAAGATTTGAAAACAGGTGCTTGAATCTACTTGACAATTATTCCAGACCAAATTTACATGTAGTTGGTGCGTTGGATTGGCTAGGGTTACGTTTGGATATGTTGTCCTCTTTGATGTTTTCCTTCACTCTAATTTTTCTAGTCTCTATTCCTGAAGGAACTATCAATCCAAGTAAGTAAATTTCATGACATACTTTGGATTACAGTTTCAAGGAAAAAATAAATAACTCATCTCCTCCAAAATCAAAGGTACTGCTGGCTTAGCAGTGACGTATGGACTATATTTGAATAAATTACAAGGTTGGGCAATTCAAAAACTTTGCAACGTGGAAATAAGATTTATATCGGTTGAAAGAATATTTCAATACTGTTGTATACCTAGTGAGCCTCCTCTTGAAATAGAGTCAAATAGACCTGATAGTTTCTGGCCCTCACATGGAAAAGTTGATATCATCAATCTACAGGTGATTACTATTTTTCTTCTTAATGTTGAAAGAGAAGTTAGAGGGGCTAAAAGTGTAAAGTGTGTGAATAGGTTCGATACGCCCCACACATGCCACTTGTGTTGAGAGGTATTACATGCAGTTTCCATGGAGGTAGAAAGACTGGAATTGTAGGGAGAACTGGAAGTGGTAAATCTACACTTATACAAACAGTGTTTCGTATTGTTGAACCTATTAGTGGGGAAATTGTGATAGATGGGATCAACATATCATCAATTGGACTCCATGATTTACGATCTAGATTAAGCATAATTCCTCAAGATCCAACCATGTTCAATGGAACTGTTCGAAGCAACATGGACCCACTTGAAGAATATACCGATGACCAGATTTGGGAGGTAGATGGGATCAAGTTGAAATTCATATGTAGTCTATAAAGAAAAAGTAGGAGGATATTTGATTTCTCTCTTTGCTAGAGAAATTAAATATCCTCCTACTTTTTCTTTCTACCAATCCTTCTATCAATTTTAGATGATGACAAGTGTAATAAAAAATTATTAATTTAATTGTGACAAGTATCACAATCTTAAGTTTGAGGATGATGGTAGGAAAAAAAAGTACAAGGATATTTGATTTCTCTGCTAGAGAAATTAAACATTCTTTTACTTTTTCTTTCTACCAATCCTCCTACCACTTTTCCATGATGAAAAATGTAATAAAATCTTATTAATTTAATTAAATATAACAAGTTTCACAATCTTCGGTGTGTAAGAAGATGGTAGGAAGAAAAAGTAGGAGGATATTTGATTTATCTGGTAAAGAAATTAAATATCCTCCTACTTATTCTTTCTACAAATCCTCCTACCACTTTTAGATGATGACAAGTGTAATAAAAATTTATTAATTTAATTAAATATGATAAGTGTCACAATTAAGTGTGTAGGAATATGATAGGAAGAAAAAGTAAAAGGATATTTGATTTCTCTCTATGCTATTACATACATTCAATTCATCATTTCAGGCTCTTGATAAATGCCAGGTTGGAGATGAGGTTAGAAAGAAGGAAGGCCAACTTGATTCAACAGGTTATTGTTCCCTCCACCATTTTGAGCACCAATTTATATTCGATTTTGCAAAAAAACAAAAAAAGAAAAGAAAAAAAAAACATTTCACAAGCTATGTAATAAAACTGTTACAGTTACTGAAAATGGAGAGAATTGGAGTATGGGTCAAAGGCAACTGGTGTGTCTTGGACGTGTGCTACTCAAGAAAAACAAGATTTTGTTTCTTGATGAGGCCACTGCATCAGTTGATACAGCAACAGATAACATGATACAGAAGACTCTTAGGCAACACTTTTCAGACTCCACTGTCATAACAGTTGCACATCGGATCACCTCTGTTGTCAACAGTGACATGGTTTTAGTTTTACATGATGGTTTGTGTGAACTTAACCTTAGACATTTGAGTCATGAACTGCTATCATCTTTTGTGTGCATAAAAACTTTGGTTGTGATTACTGTGCTTACTTTGACATGCAGGTCTGATTGAAGAATATGATTCACCTACGAAGTTGCTAGAAGAGAAATTATCTGCTTTTTCCAAGCTAGTTACTGAGTACAGTGTGAGGTCGAATTCTAGTCATACAATTAGTAATTGTAGTTAGAAATATTGGATATTTTCCGCTTTATAAACAAAAAGGAAAGTTGTTTTATACCAATCAACTATCCGGAATCTCCTCATTAGTCATCACAAATTTCTTCTATATATTGTCAGAGTCCCTTAACTTACGCCTTCGGTTACATTTATGTGAAAGCATATTCAAATTCTTTTGCTAATGTGGATGTCATTTCTTTCTGCAGTATATTAAATAAGTGATTATTTCAATGACATGGATTTTCTTGTTTCAATTTTGTTAATTTTTTTTACGGTCAATATTGCTGATGCTACTAATTATTGACTACTTGTTATGCATTGGTTTTTTTTGGGCAGTACCGCTTTTTTAATTACAGTTTCGACTTTGTTACCACCCCACAATTGGTATCAGGGAATCTGTTTGATAAAATCTTGAGTTTAAAAGTTTATAGTATGCCATGTCATTATTGTTAGGGTTTAATCACTTAGACAAGTGATCCAAACGATTTCACACAGATTAATAAATATAAACGAAAAAATAAGAACACAATATTTAGCATGGTTCACACGATTAGGGTAATCGACTATGTCGATGCGCGAACACTAGACAAAAAAAAAAGATATTTTATTGATACTACTGATTACAAACGCCTTAAGTGATTGGCAAGTCTATGTATATAGAACTTTTTTTTCGTCTTTTATAAGAGATTATAAATAATTATAAATTGTGATCCATCATAAAAATTTGGAGTGAACCATCTTAATGTTTTTGACAACAAAATATATATAAATCAAAATTTCAAAAGCTCACATTTTATACTTTAATAGACACCCAATTCATCTAAGGTCTAATCCAATAAAAAATAGTCTAATACAAATTAAAGATAAATACAGGAAAAGAAAAAATAAACAATAAAAAAATTCGTTCTCAACATGTCGTTCTTTTCCCGCTTCACGGTATACGTTGATACCGTGATACACAATTGCACAAATCGGTAATTGCTCGCCGCCTGTTGGGCACTGACCCTCCACCACAGCTGATGTCAAGATACAAGACCTCGTCGGGTACACTTATAAAAACTTTAAATCTTTTTTGGTTATACAACCCGACCCGAACCCGCAACTAGTATTTTTTTATTTTTTTTTATTTTTTACAATTTTTTCGGTTTAATTTAAATAGAAAATCACATGACTTTACGTTCTAGACTCGCCACTGCCTTAGGTTACACAAATTCAGTTGAAATATATACTAGTTAGTTAACCTAACAACTAGGTCAAAATGGCAAGTCAGTTAAACCACCAATCATGTTTACTTACTAAGGGCAAGGAAGGAAATAAAGCATTACTCACTTGTTCAAGGAGATGCAAGAAACCAAATGGCTAATGGCCTAGCGGTAAGGAGTGACTCTCTCATATGAGAGGTCATGGGTTCAAGTCTCAGTGGAGACATAGGTGGCTATTTAGGAGTAGGTTAGTTATTTGCCGTTTCAAAAAAAAAAAAAAAAGAGATGCAAGAAAGGACATTTAGAGGGTGTTTGGATAAATTAGCTTATAACTTATTAGCTTATAGCGGTGATAGAAAGCAACTTTTACAAAAGTGTTTAGATTAGAAATAAACAATAAGCTATAAGCAAGGCGAGAATGTTTATTAAAATTAGCATATTTAGCTTATCTCCACCACAATAAGCTGATTTTTAGTGTTTCCTATCCAAACACTTAAATTTAGTTTATAGAGGTTGGGATAAGCAATAAGCTATAAGTTCCCTTTTTTTCCCTATCCAAACACCCTCTAAACGTGAATAAGCAAGTAATGAGCAGCAGGGGTATTAATTTATTTCTAGAGGATCATTCAATTAATTTGTAGTTTATTTTCTTTGGGAGACCCTGGGAACTGCCAAAATATTTTATATCTTTGAGTGCAAACTTTTTATTACTCTTAATATGAAGTTAGTCTATTGAATCCAACAATTTTCTGTGTAATTTATCTGTCTTTCCATTTGATTAATTACAACAAGTGAGATCTTAGCAAAGTGGTATAAGAGCAAATGGCTCTTTTGTTGGATTAGTGTCTAAGTCCATAACTATTTTGGTATGTACTTGACCCGATTGTGAGCATGGTCCTTTTGGGTTGCCTTCACCATAGCAATATGTAGGATGAATTAAGGAGAGAAAGGTTTAATTATGATTTATTAATATATTATAAGAATAATATATTAAAGGAGAAATCATATTGTTTAATTAATATTAGTCAAGAATTAATTTTGTGGCTAAAAGATATTAATTAAACTTAGGGGGCTGGAGTTGTAATTATAAGATAATTACAATTGGGCTATAGATCACCTAATAATATATAGGTTGGACGAATTCTATGGGAAGCCCATTAGAAATCGTCCAAGGGATATGTTAAAGGAGTCCATGGGCTGCTTAGGGCCTAAGCAGTCAGATTAGGGTTTCCTAGTTGTAAACCCTAATAGCCTACATGTATATAAAGGACCCCTATGCCCCAAAAACGTGGCTAACACTTGGATTAGGGTTTCCAGCCGTTTTTGGTGCCTCTCCTCTCTTCTCTCATTCATCCAATTGCTTAGTGGTGTTTGTGACTCCATTAGAGGTGCAACACTTGAGGCACTAAGCTTTATGAAGCCAAGGATTGATTGTTATTGTTATATAACAATCAAAGGTAAGATCTAAACCCTAATTTCAGTTATAGTTTATTAGATATAGGGTTTATGGCTTTGGATTATCAATTGCATGTTCATTAGACAAACTAGATCCAAAGTTATTAGGGTTTGTATGTACACCATATGATTGATGTATTGCTCGAAACCCATCAGTGGTATCAGAGCCTAGGGCTGTTTGTTTGATGTATTTGATGCTATAGTTGATTATTCATGCTTAAAATCGAAATTTTTTGGTTTCTGGGGACTGGACTCGCCGAGTCCATAGTGAACTCGACGAGTCCAAGCTAGACTCGACGAGTCAGAGTCGCAGATGGAGCAGATTTCGGGATTTTGACCTGTTTTGGCTGTGGCTAATTGCCTAAAACGTTTTTTATTAATAAAATCCGATTTTTATCAATATTTGGAGATTATCCTTGCCAAAATAGAAGATAATTGTCAAAATTTAGATAATCTTTTGTTTTATTAGATAAAGATTGATTATTTGTAATTTAGATTTGAATTATCTTGTGAAAAAGTTTCAATTTTCCCCTTTAGGTTTTATAGTTTAAATTTGAACTTAAAAGTTTTGTTTTTGAAATTTGAATAGTTAAACCCTAATGTTTTGAAAAGTTTCAAAACTTGCCCTCAAATTTTGGAATTTAAAATTTTTGATTAAAAGTTTAATTTTGAAAGATTTAAATTTTAAACCCTAATGTTTTGAAAAGTTCAAAACTTGCCCTCAAGTTTTGGAATTTAAAAGTTGATTAAAAGTTTAATTTTGAAATGTTAAATTCTAAAACCCTCGTATTTTTGAAAAAGGTTCAAATTACACCCTTATGGTTTTATTAGTTAATTAAAAGTGTATAATTAAAAGAGAGTTAATAATTCCATAAAGTTTTGGTTTACATTTAATTAAATTAAAAGTATAATTAATTAAATTAGACCACCTAGTATTTTAAAAGTTTAAAATACACCCTATACTATGTATATATGACATTAAAAGTCTAATATTATATATGTATGAGTAAACAGTCAGTCTTACCGTTAGTAGGCCTCATTCACGAAGCTGGTCTATAAGGGGTGTTTAAGGAAATTGCCTATAAAATGGCGATTGAATGGGTATCCACTCTTACCCACCGCACTCTTGACTGGTGGAGGGTCGTTAGCCGAACGGGTAGGATAGGACGAAACCTTCCATTATAAGTATAATGAAGTACAAAGTAACTACATGCTTTTACAAATTCCCAAAATTCTAGTTATTTTAGGCAAAATGTGAAATTGTATGCTAATCCATGGAATTACACTTCGTACCCTTGTCAAACGTTAGTGGAGCGTATGTGGTTAACCGGCACACTAATTTGGGGTTGACATTGGTAGTGAAGGGTGGCTCGATGTTTATCATAGATCAATGGAGCGTGTGTGGTTAACCGGCACATTGATTAGGTGGTAGTAGCATTGAGTGCACCGCGTACGTTCGCATGGTTATTCACACCTTGTTTGTGATCCTCGGCATCCCAGTAGCAAATTTGAAGGGCATAATCGAGATTAAACATGCCATTGAAAAGTTCAATGAATCTCAAAAGACCTAGGAGTTTCAATTCATTTATAACTTAAACTTCATTTTTTGTTTTTCATGGTGGGAATTGGTAAATCGTCATTTACCTACCTTCAAATATTTTGCAACTAGATTACGGCATCCCTCTTCTAGGTTGTAGAGTATTATGTTGGATCCTAGCCTTGATGTTTCATTTGGGTGTTACATCAAGGATTCTTATCAACTAACTTGAATTTTCTCCCGTTTTGTAGATGTCTAAATCTTACAATGGTCTTCCCAAATCCATTGGGACAAGCTTTCCAAATGAAGATGACGTTCCAAGATACGATCAAGGAAATGAGAGTCATGCTTCACTTCCTCCACCTCCTCCAATTATTCTCCCCAACCCACAAGTTCAAAGGCTTGAAAAGTTCAAGCTCACTCAAGCCCTATTGGCAAGTAAACACGAAGATGGGAAACCTGTGTGTGCACACGTCTTGGAGATAAAGTCACACATTGATAGGTTAAGGATGATGGGTGTCGATATCTCAGAGATGTTGGCTGTTGACTGGGTTCTTCAGTCGCTTCCTGAATCATATAGTGAGTTTGTTAGAGAGTACTATATGATGGACCACGACGTGACCCTCGTTGATCTCACCTATTTGCTTATAGCTGCTGAATCAGCAATGATTTGGCGTGCTGGTCCAGCAAATTTGTCTGGTGAATCAAACTCCCAAACTTCAATGGACACTGGCAACATTGGAAGTCCAGAAAGGACTAAGCATGAGATTGTCCCATGTGTTGTTCCAAAGGAGTCCATTTGCTTTTATTGCCTAG